TCTCCACCCTAAAACTAGTGCCAACCAGATGCAAAAGTTGTCACTGAATCACTAGTCTGGCCTACAATTATTATTGGTGTGTCCCAGACAAGGCTACGGAACTGTATTCTTCATATATTCCTTGGGCTTAATCCAAGAATGATCTATCCCTCAGACCAACTGTCACAATGTTGTCTTTATGAGACTCCTCATTTCCATCCTTCCAATTAATCATACCCACAACTACCAAAAGATATCTATTTACCAAAAGATATAGCATAAAGGACTTCTCAGGTCTTCTCTCTGACACATATGTGACCTCAGGCCAGTAATGCAAGTGAACCTCTTTAACTCTAAGTTACTTAGTAGAGCTGATTTGCATTTCCTCATTGGGAATTCCCTACATGGAGGGCATCATAGGTCTGATCCCTCCCATACATACATACACACATTTATGTGTGTATCTATGTAGGTATATATGTGTGTATGTTTGTATTTGTGTGTATATGTGTGTGACTATATATGTGTGTGTGTGTGTGTGTGTGCGCGCATGTGTATGTTTATCCCATTATATCTCCTGTTAGAACTTTCCATAAGCGCCAAGTCATTCTCCAAATCAGTGATGTCAAATTCAGATAGAAACAGATCCCTGCAGCTGCATATTGAATTGGAAAACCACAAATCAACATTATCTGTATTATATTACATTTTCATTTATTTTGTTGAACATTTCTCAGTTACGTTTTAATTTGATTCTAGACACACTGGGAAGCTTTATGGGATACGTGGGGTTGCTTAAGCCTGTGAGCCTTAAGTTTGATACCTCTGCTCTAAATCATCTTTATTTCCCTTCCCATGAGCTCCAAAGGGCCCTCTTTCACTTGTTGCTACCACATAATTCCAAAAAATGTCCTCTTTTCTTCATCCTTATTCCAACTCTGTCTTTGCTTGTCCAAACTGCCTTACACATCTGGGATATTTTCCTTTCTTTCTCCTATCGTATTGCTATAACTAAAACTTGCCTGGGTTTTTTTTTTTCCATAAAGGCCTTGCCAAACTACAGTTGTGAAAACTTCATCATTATCCAAAGCACTATGATTTTGTTTCAGTATGGGTATTTTTCCCACCAATGCAAATGAGAGTCTTATGTATCAGTGGGTGGTTTTATGAGTTGCCATGTTCCCCTTATTCCTAAATTCAACCCCTGGGCATCAGCCCTCTGGTGATGAGCTTCTCTAAACATAGATTGGTCTTCATATGAAAATGTGTTGCTGAGCCTATCCTCAAAGTCATTCCAACTTGGTAGAACTTTCCAGTCTTATGCATAACCTGTCAAGCCAAGTTAAGAAGCATCTATAAAGTACTTACTATGTACCAGGCACTGTGTAAAGTGCTGAGAGTACAAAGAAAGGCAAACAACAGTCTTTACTCTGAAAAAGCTCATAGTGTAATGTAAACAATTATGTATAAGCAATTTTATATATACATATCTATATCTATATCTATATCTATATCTATATCTATATCTATATCTATATCTATATCTATATCTATATCTATATCTATATCTATATCTATATCTATATCTATATCTATATCTATATATAGTGTGTGTGTATGCATGTATATTTGTATACAAGTATATTTGTACACATACATGTGTGTATATATGTATATATATATGCATGTATATATATGTATGTATCTATGTGTGTGTATGTGTATGTATATAAAAATATATATATATACACATAAAATCCAAGATTACCATCACAGCATGAAGAAACATGAAAGTAGAATGTTATTAGAAGCCATAACCAGGGTGGGGCTACTGGAGCTTTGTTCCAGCATGAGAAATTACCCAATAGTAAAAAATTTACCTGAGGGTAGAAAAAATGTAAAGGGTTGCTGACAAGAGCCTGTATTCCTCTATGGAAGAAGGCAAGAGTGAGACTTCATAAAGTGGTGGTGTGGTAGAACCAGGGCCTAGTGGAGCTATGGTGATACAGAGCTGGTGACAAGGTACTTAGAGAAGAAGAAAGAGTACACACCTGTGGGGGCATAGCTTGATTGTTTCTCCAGGTTACTTGGGCAAAAGCCAAGACCAATATGACTAAGGCTGTAAGCCATACTAGGATTAGAAAAGAAGGCTCAGTCCTGGCCTGGTGATCTAGTCCCCTAAGTTGAGACAGTGAGAGGCTCTTCAGGTGCTCTTTCATAGCACAACTTGTTACCCAGGAAGAGAGAACAGCCCAGAGACCACAGATAGAATTCCCTTCCTCCTTCCTTTCTATGATTAGCCTTTATAGGTTGTGTGTATGCATACATGTATGTGAATGTATGTGCATGTGTGTGTATATATGTGTGTGTTCACGTGTGTATCTGTTCAGGAAAAGGGAGTTAGAAGGATGCGTAGAGGAAGGGAGATAGTACCTCAATACTTGCCAGAAAACTGTGCCTTCCTGTGTCCCTTATATACTTCTCTTTCCTTTAAAGTGTTGTCTTTTCCTCAGTGTTCTAACTTTTCCTCAGGTATGAGAGTTGGGCAGAGGGATTAGGTTAAAAATTCATTAGGCTGCCCCATGAAAGGAGAGGGGGGCCATGTCAAAGGTCTGCTCCTGTAGGGGTCAAGAGTTATGTCACTTTAGGGAGAGGGAAATGTTTCCTAAGCCTCGGGGCTTGCTTCAGCCTCCCAGCAAAGTCTGCCCTAGAAGAAAGGGGTTGGTGGTAGTTTACGTAGGGCAAGGCAGAAGACAGAAACAACCCCTGAACATAGTTTATCTAGCTCTTAGACAACAGAAAGGCAGGTTTCTACTGGACCCATACTCTGGCTTTCCTGACTGGTACTCCTTCCAGATCTCATACTCCACTGGTATAGACTTTGAGACTCTAAGGATACCTCTGTATCTCCTCCAATGACACAGAAGTAGAACCTTCACTATCATTAGTGAAGGATAATTTGCAGTCCAAATATAATCCCCAAACTCTATTCCATCCAATTATTTCAACCTCTGGCCCAAAAATTCCTTCTTAGAAGTAGTTAAATTAGAGGGTCTGACTTTTAATGTTTTTATTTCCCTTGTACAGTGTCAGGTAAAGGTAATGAGCAACAAATGGTCGTATCAGGACACTAGAGGTTCCCAAACCTCTGATTCTTTAGAAGGAATGGGCATCAGTTAGAGCAGTCTCTTTACTGATTTCTGTCATACAACATACATACTGATTCCCATCATCGTATCATATGCTCATGATGTACCATTTACCTAGAAGGTTTTCCTCCCACCAGTCTCAACCTCTCCATCTTTAAAGGCTCAAGAAGACTGCTAACTCTGCCTTCAAACCTTTTCCAACTATTCCAGCCCTCACTGATCTCTCTCTCTCCCTCTCTCTCTCTCTCTCCCCCCTTCCCCATATATCATATAAACTTCTATGCATATATATACATATATGTATTTATATATGTACAAACATATATGTGTATAATATGTATATATATGTATACACACACATAAAATTTGCCTACATCTGTATCTGAGATAGCTAAGTGCCATAATGGATAAAGTACTGGGCCTGGAGCCTGGAAGACATATCTCTGGGTTCAAATCTGGCCTCAGATACTATCTGTGTGACCCTGAGCAAGTCACTTAACCCTGTTTACCTCAGTTTCCTCATTGTAAAATGAGCTGGAGAAGGAAATGGCAAACCACTCCAGTATCTTTGCCAAGAAAACCTTAAATGGCATCGATAAGAATCAGACACAACTGAATTGACCGAATAACAACAATAACATCTATCTGCTATCTGTGTCTTTTATTGCTAGAGGTAGAGAGAAACTTAGAGTCACATGTCTCAGAATGCTGCAGCTCAAAGGGACCTTAAAGATCATCAATGCCAATCCCAGTTTCAGATAAGTAAACTTAGGCCAATAGAAGTGAAGGGAATCCCCAAATCTCACAGGTGGGGTTAAAGCCCATTTCTTCTGAATCCAGCCAGCTCTTTCACCATGTCATGCATTGCCCTTTTAACTCTCTGAAGTGAACCTCTTTGGATTTAGCTAGGCTAGTTCTCAGACAAATAGACCTAACATAGGCTGATATCTGAAGCCTTTATTTCCTCAGTAGAACTTGATGGAGTGTTGTGCTATACTATCACAACATTAATAATCACAGGACCTACAGTTACCTCACTAGCCCAGTGTGGCATAGAAGTATTAGCACCTTTAAGTAAACACATTGATCCACAGAGGAACTTAATGACATGTCCCTAACCTCATGTAGAGAGATAGATTACGAGCTAGAACTGATCCTTGGTTGGTACCAATTTGTTGTGTTTAGTCAATGTAACAAAACACCTTTGGATGCAACAAATGTAGACTAATAGAATATACTGATTATCATGAATTTTTTCATGTATCTCTTAGGCTTATTACCCATTGCATCCTATAATTCTTCAAAGATAGTTGCACTTGAGAGCTTTGACTCCACTTTGATTGTTGCCAATCAAAATCTAGATTTCACCAATTTTTAAGGTTTTGAGTGTTTTGGGGGTGGGGGACAATTTGTGAATGTTCCATGTCCACATTCCATATACGATAATGAAAGCAATAGATTTGTGTTGGCTGTTATAACTTTGATTCAGCAGTTTCAGATTTATCTATTCGCATGATGGCTCCAAGGAAGCTGAACGTGGCCAGTAAAGAGAACTATAAAACGGTATCTTTTAAGCACCCAAGATCTCAATCTACATATTCAGATACTTACTCCTATGTAATCAGAATGGTTGTTGAATCAAACAAAATTATCCTTAAAAAAACAGACAATTTTTGATTATTAGAAAGAATAAGGACTTCTGATTTATTTATTTATTACTAATTTATTTCCTTTAAGGGGAATGAAAACTGGTCCAATTCAGCTAGAAGCATCAACAGTCTTATCGTTACTTTTCCTGGGTAAGCCACACTGAGTGTTTCACTGCTGACCCTAAAAACACAGGACATCTTCAAAGGTCTTGGCAAGACTCACCATTTTGTTGTCCAGCTGCTGAGGACATAACAAGGTAGCAGATACATTGACTGTATGACCTGGGCAGGACCCTCCAATTTTTCAATGCAGCACAGCTGCATTTTACAATAGTCACCACTGCCAGAGAGGTTGCAGAACTCTGATAATTACTAGGAGAGAAATAACACAATATTCTTTGATAAGAAGATTACTTTGAGAATTTGATTGTATAATGAAGATGTTGCTTTGAAAGGTACTTCCTATTGTTCCGAATCTGAGACTTGCTAGCAAAAAAAAAGTGTCACTTGTTTTGACAGGCTACTTAGAAAAATTCTCTGTTTATTACATTAACTACAGCATTTTATCTGTCAAACTATGAAAGAATGTCCTATAGTTTAGAAAAAACAGAATAGAGTTTCAGGGGATTTTTTTTGGCATGCTCGTGTTGCTATTGGTATTGGAAAAAAAAACATAGCTTTTTGTGCCATGGCAGGCAGAGTGGTTCACAATGCCCCATTTCGCAGGTGCAGACCTGGAGGGTGTGTGAGGGCAAATGCTGGAGAACGATGACAGTTTGATCATGCAGCTGTTACAGCCTTGAGACAGAGGAATCATCCTAAAAATGGGGTTTTGAATTTTATAGTTTTTATTTTCCATTATTTATGGACTAAGGGATGTTACCTTATATAAAATTGATGCAAACAAGACTCCTTTTCCAAGAAACTTATTTGGTTGGGTTTTTTTAATCACATTGGGCAAAAGACATGGGTAGAGTGGGAATAAATGAATATGTGGGGTGACAACATATTCAGAGTCAGAAGTAGGAGACCAGCTGGAACAAGGATGCTTAAAAGGAAGCAGAGAAAACATTTTCTGCTGACCTGATCATTGAAGTGAAATTGCCCCCTCTAAAGTTCCCAGTGACCTCTTCAATTGCTAAATCTAGTAGTCTTTTCTCAATCCTCAGCCTCTTGACATCTCTGCCAAACTTGACATCTCAAGCCCTCCCCCTGGGTATTCTCCATTCTGGGGATGTTTGTGACACTGCTCTTTTTGGGTTCTCTTCCATATCCAACTGCTCCTCCTCAGTCTCTTTGCATGGCTTGTCAACCATATCACATGCTGTAACAGTAGGGATAGCTGAAGGCTCTACCCTAGGCTCTCCCTTCTTCTCACTCCACATTTTCTCACTTTGTAAGCTCTGTGGAGTTAATTATCATCTCTATGTTAATGATTCTCTGATCTATCTATCTGGCCCTACTTTCTCTCCTGAGTTCCAGTTCCACGCCACCACCTACCTGTTAGACATTTTGAACTGGATGTCCTAGAGAAATCTCAAACTCATGTCGTCAAAAACTTATTATCCTTCATCTAAAACATGTTCCCCTGTGGGAGCAATTAATCACTTACCCTTTATTTTCACATATCTCCTCCAGTCTTCCCTATTGATGTTAAGGGTGCCACCACCCTTCTAGTCACTGAAGCTTGTACCCATGGTGTCATCCTTCACACCTCACTTTCACTTACCCTGCACATTTGATCATTTGCCAAATCTTGTATCTGCCTCCACAACATCTCTCACCTCTATCCCCTTCTCTTCATCCACACAGCCACTACTCTAGTCAGGACCTCATCACTGCTCACTGACTGTGTCAATGGTCTCCCACTCACCATGATTCTCACTATTCCAATTCATCTACTAGGTCTGACATTTGCCAGTCTCTTTCTCAATAAGCTCCAACACCTCTGTCTTACTTCTGGGATCAAATATAATCTCCTTTGTTTAGTATTTAAAGTCCTTCATGACCTGACCTCAACTTATTCTAGCCTTTTCACACATCACTCCCCTTCATATATTCTATGTTTCAGTCAAACCAGACTTTTTAACTGTTCTTCCTAGTAGATACACCATTTCTCATTGTCTTGCCTTTCCAGTGTCTGCTTCACATGCCTGGAATGATACATGCCTCTTCTCCTTATTTCCCATCTCAGAATCCCTACTGTCCTTTAAGACTTGGCTCAAGCACTACCTTTTCCACAAGTCTTTTCCTGATGTTCCCAGCTGCTATCCCCCCAACCCTGACAAAATCACCTTATATAAATTTTGCAGACTTTTTTTTTATAAACCTAGATATATGTATTTCTATCCCTATAAAAATGTAACCCTTGTAGGGTGGTGACTTTTTCACTTTTGTATTTGTATCATCATGATCTAGCATAGTGCTTAGCATATAAGAAGCACTTAATTTATAATCATTGGTTAATTGCACAAGATACCAAACATTGTTCCTAAAAGTCTGGTGAAGCTCAACTCTCTTCTGTGTGCAGTTTTTGAGTTAGTCCCACTTTGTAGCACTGGAATATAGAAGCCCTATCTACTCTAGGGCTAAGCTTCTATAATTCTAAAAGAAGCCAACTTAAGAAATAGGCAAAGGGAAGATTTATTCCAAACAAGGGAGAGGAAAATAAAATAACATGAGAGAAGAACAAAATTGTGATCAGTTGTGAATTGGCGGGGGGGGGACATATTTGATCTAAAACTGCAGAATTTGAATTTATTCATTTGATAAATTAGTATTACCTGTAGTTATTGGTTAAGAGGTTGGAGAAAAATTAACCATAGACAGATCAAGACCAGGGCTTTCACACCAAGAGCAGGTTTTCTAATAAGCTAAGGATTTTCTCTCCAGTACCTCATTTGATGGGTAGTATTAAGAATGAGGCCCCATTTAAAGGCCTGATAGCAGAAGTGTGCTAGGGACTCCTAGGAAGCAATTGTTAAATTTTCAAGGTGAGCATTTATGCCTCAGAAATCCACAAAAGCTACGAATCAGGGTTTGATTTATTGTATTATTGATGGACTATACTTAATAAAATGATAGAGAAAATGTTAATAATGCAGGTTAATCTGAAAAGCATGCATGAGGTATGTTGTTCCACCCTTAAGTTGTTAAACATTTACCAGCACACCCCTGCTGGGAAGTGAATCTGATTTTAAAGGACTTTCTGTTTGGTCAGAATGTTTCTGAAGGTACAAACTTTAAAATCCAGATAACTGTGGGGTCATATGGTCTCAGACCTCCTAAAGCCAACAGTGCTTAGTATTATGAGCTTTCAACCTTTCTCCAAATAACTACCAAGGCAAGAAGAGAAAGAAACTGACAGAGGCCAGTTTTTCGTTAAATGAAAAATTCCATCCACTACATAACAGATGTTGAACAAATTTATCACTTAACTGTTCCTTAAATTACCACATGAAAAATTGTGGAAGTCAATAATTTCCCTAAAGATCCTTCTAGTGTAATTATCTACCCACCCTGGGGACAATTAACTGCTTATCCTTCATTTTCACACACTTAAGGACTAACTAAACTCACACAAATGGAAGATGCAGATAGAGACTTTGAAAAAAAATCAGTTTGTTTTAAAATCCTCTTGACTATTCTACCCCATCCCCTAAACATAAAGTAATGCTATTGTAATTATTATTATTATTAGTATTGGTCCTAATGGCTGTTGTTATTTGAACCAATTATTTCATTGGTTTAGGAAATTCCTGGTGAGGAAACTCCCTCTACCATTGCAAGTAGATACATAATCTGCAACTTATAAACATAGAGAGTTGCCTAAGGTCACTGAGTGACCAAGTGATTTGCCCAGGGCCACACAGGCAGTATAGGCCGGAATCAGGACTTGAACCCAGGTCTTCCTAACTCTGAAGCTGATTACCTATCAGCTATGTCTATCGAGCTGCCTCTCTATTATTATTAATGGTTAATAGTTACATTGATAGTTAATTAAATTAATAATAAGAGTTGTGTTACAATTTATATTTGTATCGTGCTGTAAGGTTTACACAGTACTTTCCTCACAACTCTGTGAAGTAATCTAGTTAACATTGCTAACATTTATATAACTCTTTAACGTTTTGTAAGGCACTTTACAAATATTATCCCGTTTGATCTTCACAACAACCCTGAAAGGTAGGTAACTATTATCATCCCCATTTTGCAGATGAGGAAACTGAGGCAAACAGAACTTAAGGGACTTAACCAGGGTCACAAAGCTAGTAAGTGTCTGGGGCCTGGTTTGAACTCAGGTCTTCCTCTTTTGAAGTCCACTATGCCACTTAGCTACCTCTGATAATAATATGTAAATATTATTATATTCACTTTACAGACAAAGAAACTGTAGTCCAAAGAACTGAAATGACTTTAGCACAGTGGCTAGCACACAGTAGGCACTTAATAAATGTATATTGACTGACCGATTGACTAACTTATACAGGTTCACACAGGTAGCAGGCGTCTAAGTAAGCTTCAACATTATTCTTCTGTCGGTAGAAACTTTATGTCTCACTTCTTTTATTAAAGTAGAGACCAGTGGGACAAGCACTTAACAGAAGTGGGAGGATAGAGCCTAGTCAAGCGATGATCAGATTTGGGGAAGATGTAGCACTCTATATTTTACTATTGATTTTGCAACAGTTGTACCTCCATCCCCTTCTAAAAGTTATATATGATAATGGTGAATTAAAATACATTTTGCAATAAATAAAAATGCCTAAAGGTATTGCATGGTCAAGATTCGAAATGGCTGATCCAGTGGAAATGTTGTTTAGGATCCTATGTGGTTGGGAGGTCTAAGTCCAGTCCTGCTTTAATAGCTGACTAGGGATTCTCTAGCATAGAATCACTGGATCTAAAAAATATCTGTCAAGGTTTGCTTAGCCCAGCCTTTGCCCAAAGAGTGAATTCCATATCCAACATGCCCACTCATTCAGCCTCTGCTCAGATACCACCAATAAATAACAAGGGATGCACTGATTAGTGTATTGAACCAAAACTATCATCCTTAACTTCTATTCATTGGTTATAGATCTTCCCTTTGGAATCACATAGCATCAATTAGATCCTTCAAATGGAGAGTCCTTCCTATTTTGAAAATGGCTATCATCATACCCTCTCCCCTCACTCTAGGACTTTTTTTTTTCTCCAGACTGACATCTCCAACCATCTCTCATATAATATAGTTTTGAATCCCTGTATCATTCTGGCAGCTGGTCACCCTCTTCCAGTTCTGTTTCTCAGAAGAGAACCCAGTGGTGGCAGATGTGGAATCACCAGTGCAGAGGCTACTAAAACTCTCGCCTTTTTTGTTCTGGGCATGG